AAACTACTACCATGGCTCGTCGGCAAGGCTTACTAGCCTCCTGCTCTTGGGATAAGCAATTTACAGAATCTCTATACACAGCTCCATGGTCATCGCCCTTACTGTTTGGTGGCAACATAGACAAGGTCTCCAAAGAAGTATCTAAAGACTCGAGAGGCTCTTATGATCAGATCCATGGATACCTTAGCTTAACGCCATTAAACAGTCAACACAGAGATACTCGGGCAAGTCTAAGTTTTTGGGGCTACAGAAAGCACGGGACAAGAAATTAGCTGCAGCTAAAGATCCCAAGGATTCTTTTCGTCGCCCATACAACAAATTTAGGGGAGGATCAGCTAGAGGCAGATCATCCAGAAATGCCCGTGGATTTAGACGATGAAATTCAGGTTCGGAACGACTGGAGTCTTCCACCCCCAGCCGTTCCAGTACAACCGTCTCAAGTGGGTGGATGCCTTCAGCTACACTGGGAAAACTGGGGAATACTACAAGATCCATATGTATCCAACATCCTACAGCATGGATATCTAATACAACTCAAGGCCAAGCCTCCGTTAACAGTCAACCCCACAGGGTTCAACGTTCAACCGGCACAACTACGTATGTTAAGAGAAACAGTACTTACTCTACTAAACAAACAGGCCTTAGAAGTTCTGGATCAACGAAACATCGATCCAGGTTTCTACTCCCCAGTTTTCCTAGTGCCGAAGAAAAATTCCAAGGAGAAGTTTCGTCTCATATACAACATGAGCATCTTCAACAGAGAATATCTATGCAAACCACCAACGTTTCGCATGATACACTTACCGCAACTTCGCATTTAATTCGGTCCCAAAGATTACATGGCCAGCATAGATTTGCAAGACGATATCTACACATTCGATTCATCCCAACTCAAGGAAATATCTAAGATTTATCCTAGACGGGAAACATTACCAATGGAAGGTTCTTCCCTTCGGAATCACATCTGCCCCTTGGGTATTCACAAGAGTGACCAAGCCTATTGTCTCATACCTACATCGTCAAGGTCTTCGCAGCGCTTTTTACCTAGACGACGGTATACAAGTGGATCCAGATCCACAGCGTCTCAGACTACAGCTGAACTTTATAATCAAGCTACTAACACAATTAGGATGGTTAGTAAATCTACTCAAGTCGGACCTAGAACCAACGCAGGATCTGCAATTTCTAGGTATACGATTTCTAACAGCTCAGAATCGTATTGTTGTCCCGGAGGACAGATGGATCAAGATCCAACAACTTATTCCTCAAGCCCTACTCTCTCCGCTACCACTCACGACAGTGGCAGAGCCTATTGGGACTACTCACATCAGCTCAAGACTTGACAGTCAGAGGCAGGCTTCAATTACGTCCGTTACAAGTCCTCATCAATGCTCATCTCGAGGACCCTCTACCATTCAGTCTACCAGATTATGTCAAACCACATCTACTCTGGTGGACCAAGAGATTGAATGTTTGCATGGCGCCTCCTTAGTAGAGCCGAATCGAACACACATCTCTCTCACGTGACGCGCCACTACAAGGTTGGGGAGCCCACCTTGCTGGCAGGACAGCGCCAGGCCTATGGAGCAATCAAGAGAGCAAATGTCACATAAATCTGCTAGAGATGCAAGCAGTCATAAACGCCATAAGTCACTGGAGCAACATACTACAGAACGCTTCAGTTGATGGTTCACACAGACAATTCAACAGTGGCGCTTTTATGTGAACAAACAAGGTTCAACAAGGTCACAGAACCTACTGACTCGATGTTTCAGACTGTTCGATTTAATCGACAATCTAAACATACACGCCAGAGCTTGCCACATTCCAGGAGCAAAGAATGTATTAGCAGATGCTCTCGCCACACCAACCGTCGCCCGACAGAATGGATGCTCCACACAGAGATATTCAATCAAATAATCTTGGAAATAGGATCTCCACTGATAGACCTATTCGCCACTGATTCAACAAGCAACTGACAACATTCGTGTATTCGCAGTGCCAGACCCACTAGCATGAGCAACGGACGCACTAAGCATATCGTGGGAGAGACTCAACGCGTACGCTTTCCCGCCTCCAGCGTTGATCCCACAAGTCTTACAGAAAATTAGTCAAACGCAGAGCCTCCATCTGATTTTAGTTGCGCCCTACTGGCCAGCGAGAACTTGGTTTCCAGATCTCATTCAAGTAATGGGAAAACCAATTCTTCAGCTCCCACAACGTGCCAATCTATTTATACATCCGCACACCAAACTAGTGCACGAAACACCAGAAGCATTCCAACTTCACGTATGGATTGTATCAAGGCATGTCTGAATAAGAGAGGTTATTCTGCCAGAGCTGCTAAAGCGGTCACGCTTTGCACTACGTAACTCAACTCGTGAACTTGTACGATGACAAATGGCACAGTTTTGTCAATTACGCTGCTAAGAAAGGATTTACAGCCAGATATGCTACACATCCTCAAGTGGCAGATTTCTTATGTTATCTACGGCAAACTAAGAATCTAAAAGGCTCAACCTTGTCCACTTATCTTGCAGCTATAAGTTCTGTCATAACTATGCTTAACGGGCCAAGTTAACAAAAACACCAGAGTTACTCGCTTTGTTACGCTGCTCCGATTGGAGGATCAGAAACGGAAGTTTCACGCCCAGCCTGGGATCTAAATATAGTGCTCCAACACCTCACTAGTGAGGCTTATGAACCATTGCTATCTACATCGTTTGAATCACTGACCCAGAAAACCTTATTCCTGTTAGCACTAGCTACGGCCGCCAGGATGTCAGAGATTCACGCATTGGATTACGAGAGAACACGGTTTGATGATATTCATAACATCGCTCATCTGGGACTTCGCTGGGATTTTATAGCGAAAAACCAACTGCCAGGTCAACCAGACGATTATTCCACGTCCCAGCTCTCTCATCCATACTTGGACCGCATGATACGATGGATCTATCACTATGCCCAGTGAGAGCACTGAAAATATATCTCCAACGATCCAAACAGAGCAGAGGGAAATTCAAGAGATTATTTATCCCTATATCTACAGCTACGCAGACGGAAGTCTCACATACTACACGATCTCTATCTGATCAGAACTGTCATACTACGTGCCTACAAGGCTGAAGGACTCCTCGACCCTCCAAGAGCTTCTAATCCTCACTCTAAATTAGAGCTAGCCTCAACTCGCCTACATGGGAATTGCTCGCTGAATACCATAATGGAGGGATGTTTCTGGAGATCCGATATAGTGTTTGCCAACCACTATCTGAGAGATATCACCACCGAGGACGCCTCAGGTATCCACCTTTTCGGTCCCCATGGTCCTCGCCAACAGTTGACAGTTCCACGGAGAAGATAAGTCTATCTTACAGATTTTATACTTATCTGATAACAGTACTAATAGCTACATGCTATCTATATATTTTGCTTAAGTTTAATTTATTATCTTAAGCTCAGTACTATGGTTTTTTATATCATACTACATATAAGCTTACAACTCCTAGGAGTTTTGCTACTATATATATGTTCAGCTTAAGTTTCATCAATCCTTAAGCTCAGTCATATGGTCATATTCATAAATGTATTAGCTAACAAACTCTAAGGAGTTGGTTACTATTATACCGCTTAAGTTATAATTATATCTTAAGCACAGTACTATACTATTATAGCTTAAATATATGCATATCTTAAGCTTAATACTTTGGTTAATTTATAAAAGTATCCACTATAAACTCACAGAAGTTTATACTATCACATTAATAGCTTCAGCTTACATTAATGTTGTATATACTTTTATCATATTCAATAAATTGTAATAACCTTTATATGGCAGCTGATAAGTTAAACAGCAGGAATTCATCAGTTCAGTGCCTTTATGAAGTTCCCATAGGGTTATTACAATCATCACAGTTCAAATCACTAATTATTAAAATCCAAAGTATATATATTCCCACCTCCTTTTCCGTCGGATTCTACAAGCAATAAGCATAAGTCAGGATAAGGAAAAATATGACATTTTTAGAGTAAAATTAATATTTTATACTTATCCTGACTCATGAGGTAAGCCCTCCCGTCCTCCCCACTTAACACTTTGGATTTCTTCGGAAAAATAAAGTGTCGGGCTCGAAAGAAAAGGAGAGAGTGAGGCACATGGGTTCAGGTGGCGCCATCGTTCCCGCGCTTGTGGAACGGAGGTAACTCGTGGTGAGTACTAATTAGTGATTTTTTAATTGAAGGGAACTTCAATTTGGAGATACACGTGTTCCACTATGTTCGCAAGAAGAAGAAGACAAGCAATAAGCATGAGTCAGGATAAGTATAAAATATTAATTTTACTCTAAAAATTTCATTTTCATATTTTATAATTGTCGATAATTGTATCGTCTTAGAAAAAGTATCGATACATCAATACGTCGATGTATCGTGGCATCCCTAGTGTTCAGTGTAATGCATTCTTACAGCATCAAAAAATAAAACATAATAACTCCATTCCTGTGTAATGATACAAATTACTCATTGAAAATATATATATATGTATTAGTTCCCATTTCTAATTCATTTAGTCCTAAAGATTATGTTGAAAGTGAAATATGAAATATATTTTAAATAAAAGTGCTTTCTTAAACTGGCGCTTGCTCTAAAATGTGCTGCCACAGTACATGTTTAGCACACAAACTCCCTACCTTGCTTGGCTTTCTCAATAACAATGCGTATAGGGACGACAGAACACTGAGAGGAGCTTAGGCACACTCGATAACCCAGCAGCAGTCTGACGTCAAAGAGCATTGTTTTTGTTAACGATATTTCACAAAATACGTCATAAGGTATGTAATTTGTAAAGTTGTGGTGCTGAATTCTAAAGGTAGGCCCAAGTTTAGATAATATCAACGTTGTCTATAGAGCCCTTCATTGATCACAAAGTAATTTATCAGTAGAATTTTCCATGTCATGTTATCAATTATTATGTGAAATATAATCCCCTTTTCTGATTTCAGTACATGAAAGCTAACAGCAACAGAAAATATCTCAGTGTTTCATCCATATCTGAAGATTTGCAGCGACAGTATAGGTAAATAGCAAATATTAGGCCATTTAGTCTGATGAAATGCATTTTGCTCTACCACCATGTAGAGTGTAATGGAGTGCACTTTTGCCCAGAAATATCATCGTTAAAGCTCACAGATGCTTAAGTTAGTTTATGATTATGTATAAATCTGTAAAATGAAAAAGATCTCATTACAGAGGATAACATCAGGTTAGTAGTGAAGTACCACATCCACCACCATATGTTTGCATGTTATATGTGACAGTTTTTTTAAAGATGATTATTTTTATTCTCCAGTGAATACTCTCGAAAGAAGAAGAATGCTTTTCAGAAAATGGTTGATAAAGGTAAGTGTTGTCAGATACAGGACATTTTCGATAAATATGACAATAATAGTGCAGGAAATTGCCGAAATTTCTTAATATTAAAGTTTTTCAAAAGTGTTACTAAAATAGATTCCTAAGTTTTTCTTATGGTATTAGCAAAAAATTAATTGAAAAGGAATGTCTAATGATTTTTCACAATTGTCACCTATACAAACACCTCCACTAAAAGAATTTTCTTGTGTATCAAGCATCAGTAAATATGGTAAAAACATGACTGGTGATAGGAGTTTTGTTATTTTTCCTTATCCTGACTCATACTTATTGCTTACCTCCTTTCCCTCCGAAGCTTGAGTGGAAACCGCTGTCCTAATGTTCGCAAGAACAGTCAAAACTTTACTCACCCCTATAGGGCCCCTTGCCTCTTCCCGCCACTGCGTCCCATGACCACGCCATATTGTCACTCTCTCCTCCATCGCCCAGCTAGATGGTTGGGCTCACACCTCGGGTCCCTTCTACGGCCGTATACTCTATTAATTTAGGCCAAAATCTCAAATTTTTGTTGTAGATGGTCTTTCATATCTTTTGGCAATCAGAACAATGTATTTGTAGTGAATTTACATTGTTAATTTCTGGATTTTCTCACTTTGTTTGCAGACATGCTGTGACATATGCGATCTTGTCAACAATGCAGATACCAGTTGTCCCTTCTTGATACCCTGTGTACCCTTCTTGTACTTCTATGCCATGTACCACTATTTCACGATGTATACATTGTGCACAATTGTCAGAATATTTATTCAATAAATATATTTTGTCTTGTTTACGTAAGAAGATGGACAAGAAGAAGCATGAGAAAGCGGTGGCAGACAAGGGTAAGATGCAGCCTGCAGAACATGAGTTAACCCCGTTATTATCTTCTGGGGATGAGGGAAATCCCTTAGTACATACTTCACATTCACCACTGGATTTCATCACAAAGGATTTACCAGTTTCTGCCTCTCACAAGGAGGTAGTATCACAGCCCCATGTAAAGAGGAAAACTCCTGAGACGGGGTCTGATTTGCAAAAGCTGGCAAGATTGAATGAAGAGGACGTTCCAGAGAAATCGTCCTCAAAGTCATTATAATCATTATATACGTCGAAATTAGGGCTGCACGGTATTACCCATATACTGGTAAACCGCAACACGACATTTTAACAATTACGTACCACGATACATTTAGGATGTACCGGTATACCGACAAAGATTTATTTGTTCAATTTTAATCCATTCAACACCGCAGGAAAGACTTCCGCCCGTATACCCCCTAAATGTTAATGGTGAGGAAAAAGATACATATGTATATTCAGGTAATATGGGTGGTGGTGGTGGGTGGGGATTGGGTGGAAGTCTTTTCAAATGATTGGCAACGGGTCCACTTAAAAATTGTCAAAGAGCAAATTATCGATGTTTCGAGCAAATCATTAAAATTGAAGAAACTAATGAATAAAATCTACAGTTTTCATAAAAGTTGTCAAACGTACATCTAAGTTACTATTTCCATAATTTTTTCTTATCCTGACTCATGATCTTTTGCTTATCTCCCTTTTCTTTTCGAATGGTAGTGGAAACACTTGAATCCCTTGAAGTTTCCGAAGCGGACGTAAAAATACACTCACCCACGAGTTACCTCCCTTTTGCCTTTTTCCCGCGCAAACAGTCATGTGACCAGCCTTACTTGTCACTCTCTCCCTTTTTGCCCAAGTGGATGGTTCGGCGAGCACTGGAGTCCCATATACGGCATTATATCCTTTTTATTTAGATCCTATTCTTCAAAATTATGCTGTGTATGGATTTGGCAATAACTACTTTGTATTATATGTAAAAAATTTGTGAAAATTATTTGTATTTGTGTCATAATTTCATCGTTATGTAACTTTGTTTATATTTCATGAAATCTTGCAGTGTTTGCTGGCACAGGTTATCCCTGGCTGATCCTCACCCCCAATGCCCCTCGTGCATAAAACCATGTTCTTCCAGCTTGCACTGTACTTATTGTGTTGATTTATCAAATCTACAATTTAATCAATATTTGTCTTATATCTATAGACGTGCCATGGATTGGGTGAGGAAGTCATCTCAAGTCACGGCTGATAAAACAGGAGATCAGCCTGCAAACCGTATGTTGCTTGCTACTGCTGAAATTCATAATACTGGTGCTATGTTGAGTACGTTGCAGGGGCAGTCTGCTGGTACGGGGGCTAAGAAGAGATCGGCTACAACGCAGTTGACTCGGACTCAAGCTAAGAAAAAGACGTCATCCTCTTCTACATCGCAGAAGAAAGCATCTGTTGCCAGATCTGAGGGTAAATCTACGCGGGCTAGTAAGTCAATGCATCAGAAATCCTTCAACGATCAGCAACTCAATTGACGTCTACAACTACTAGATCGTCTCCTGCAATGGTCACAGCAGGACAGCTGTTTGACGAACTACCACCTACCTCTCAACGCAGTGAAGTCGAGGCACACAACTCATCAGCGTTCACGAACACTTCTTCTACACCGCAGCAGCTTCAACCAATGCAGAACTTTGACCCGGGCGAATTTATGAGACAATTCACCAACCAGATGATGACCGTGATGGAACACAGGTTTGAGGAAGAAGCGAAGGCTCGGTGAAGCCTCTCATCTACCGAAACCACGCGCAAACCTACGGACCTGCGCGAACCTACTCCTCAGAGAACTATGTCTCAAGACTATGTTGGCGAACGTACACCTTTACGAAGGTCTCCACTGTCGGACGACTCTGTCATCTTGGAGGAGGATAGAAGACATGAGATGCCTACTCATCATTCTACATCTGCGAACCCTCAACATTCGAGAACATCAAAGGATCCATCTCCTACACCTAGCCACTCTAGATCGAGATCGAGACGGACGTTCGCTAAGAGAAAGCTCACATCACAGAGGTATGCGAAAGGATACATCTAGCGACAGACGTTCGCGAAGAGAAAGCTCACATCACAGAGGTTCGCGAACAGATGAATCTACAGATAGAGGTTCGCGAAGAGAGGACTCTCAAGATAGACGTTCGCGTAGGTAGGAATCTGCAGACAGAGGTTCGTCAAAGGATGATGAAGGTTCGACAAGGGATACAGTTTCGCAGATGGATGATACGCGGAGGCCTAGCGCTAATAATCAGGAGACACTGAATGAGCAAGTGGACTTCATCTTCCCAGACGCAGAGGTTACAGATTGTATTGCCAACGGGTTGAACTTGGAGTCTCCTTCTAAGGATAAAGATGAAATCTACACTTATATGATGCGTAACGACGACTTTGACTCCGTCACTATCCCTCCGATTGAACCTATATCCAGGGTACCCTCCAACCTTCGCACAGCTTTCGCGAAAGCATCCAAGTACCAGAGTCAGCATCTGCCATCATTTAATGTGAAGAGATTCCCTCTACATCATATGGATCCATTTACAAAGGCACCTGAATGGGATGATAACATAAAATTAGTCATTGACTCCCGGAACAAGATGTATAAAGTAGAAGATAAAAAGTTATCTCAACTTGATACTGCTACAAGGAGATCCTTCTTCGGGTTGGCCAGGTCCAGAGCTATCAATGAAGCATTGCTCAATAAATTCCAGAATTCAAGTTCAGAAGAGGACAGAATGATATATTCGGCACTCATAACTCAGAAGAAGGACCAATACTTTTTATCGGACCAGCTGGCATCTATATCTGCAGGTCTCACTTTACTACGCAGACAAGGGCTTCTTGCATCCTGTTCATGGAGGGACAGATTCACCCAACCGCTACTGAGAGCTCCATGGGAGGCGCCTACTTTCTTTGGAGGACAAATAGACGAGGCAGCTAAGGAAGCTACGCACGACTCTAGAGAAGTGATGATGATAAAATCCATAGATACTCTGGCCAATGTCATCCGTCATACTTCTGCAAAAGTATAACAGCAAGTCCAAATATTCCGGCATACAGAAGGCAAAGGAGAAGAAGTACTCCAGCTTCAGAGGCGGCAAAGGATCTTTTCGTCACCCATCCGGAAATTACAGAGGAAACTCAGGGAGAGCTCACACTCCCAGAGGATCCAGAGGAACTAGACGTTGATATCAGGGTTCTGAACGACTGGAGTCTTCCACCCCCAGCCGTTCCTGTAAAATCATCGACAGTGGGTGGACGTCTACAAAGGTACTGGAAAAATTGGGGAATACTAGAGGACGACTACGTCTCCCAAGTACTACGAGAAGGATACAGAGTACACCTCAAGGCCACACCTCCGCTAACCCTCAGCCCGATGGTCTTCGACTATGCAGAGGAGCGGGCAGACAAACTACAAGAAGCCATCAACTCACTACGGTAGAGGCGGTAGAGATAATAGATCAGCATCATCTCACTCCAGGCTTCTACTCCCCAATATTTCTAGTACCCAAGAAGAACTCCAAGGAGAAGTTCAGACTGATTTACAACATGCTCAAATTCAACAAAGACTATCTACTGAAACCAGACAGGTTCAGAATAATCCACCTACCTCAACTCAGACTACTCGTCAGTCAAGCAGATTACATGGCCAGCATAGACCTGCAGGATGCGTACCTACACATTCCCATACATCCGGAATCAAGAAAGTATTTACGATTCCTATTCGGAGGGCATCACTTCCAATGGAACGTCCTACCGTTTGGAATATCTTCGGCTCCGTGGCTATTCACACGAGTAACCAAGCCTATAGTCACATATCTACATTATCGAGGTCTACACAATTCTACTTGGACGACGGATTCAGGTTCACCAAAATGCCAGTCAACTCAGACTACAGCTGAACTTCAACTCAACTAGGATGGCTGGCGAACCTAATGAATTCAGAGTTGGTACCAAAACAAGATCTGCAATTTCTGGGGATAAGGTTTATCACAACACAGAATCGTATTGTTGTCCAAGAAGATCGTTGGGTCAAGATACAAACCATGATTCAACTAGCAGTCATCTCTCCGTAAACACTATGATCATGGCAA